AAATCACTGGCACAACCACCTTGTTCTCACCCCAGCTGACATGTCTCTGCTTTTTTGGAAAGGCTTTGGAGGGTGGTCCACACCTCCCTGCCAGTGATCACCAATGTCACARAATCATGGAATCATTAAAGTTAGAAAAGACCATTAAGATCGGGTCCAACCAGGGCCCTCACAGAGGACACATTTTGCACCCTAAGACAAGACACCYTCAGTGTCTGAGAGGCCCTGATGGGAATCTCTTGCTCCTACCTTCATAGTTGATACAACCATTGGCATCTTCCTGCCCTGCCATGAGCTGCTCCACCTCRCTTTCTGTCATCTTCTCCCCTGGAAGAGGAAGATGGGAGAGGTGAGGAAGGATTTTCAGCCTGCCAAGACCTTCCTGTCCTTCTTTCAGATAACCAAAGACACCAGAGGAAGGAGAAGGGGATTAAAGAAGAGCTSTRTGCCACTCCTGAGGAATGCTGGTGSGAKATTTTAGAGAGAAGACCACAMTGCAACTGTTGTCTGATAACTGARGATGYTCTGCAGTCTCCATCTTGCCTGGATCATGCATGAGGCTGTGGCATAAGATGGAAAAGGCCACACATTCAGGAGTCATTGACTCCTAAAASAGCCTGTGAGCAGCAGAGTGAAAAGGGTCTCTGTGATATGTGAGACCTGCCAGCTCCCTGAGCCACGTGCCCAGAAAGAGCTGRGGGTCCATGCCCTGTTCCCCCCGCCCTGGGGCCAGCCCGTACCCAGAGTGACCAGCACATGGCGCAGCTCGGCCCCCATCACCATCCCGTTGCCCTCCTTGTCGAAGACACGCAGCCCTTCCACAAAGTCCTCRAAGGTGCCCTGCTCCTTGTTGCGGGTGAAGTGCTGCAGGATGGGGAGGAAGGTCTCAAAGTCCAGCATCTTCGTGTTCATTTCTGGAAGGGGAGGAGATGGGGTCAGAGATGAACCTCATAGAGCTGAATCCAGCCTCTGAGGGTCTCCTGATTAACTTTCCAGGTCTTTTTTCCATCAGAGTATAGGGGAGAAGCCCCACAAGGAGATGAAACTGTTATATTTGAGATTGGAAGAACCATATGAGGAATAAAATATTAACATCAGGGAACTGCACAGAGACCTGATATCAGCCCAAAATTAAACCATYGGGTGGGTTGTCTGTCACCACGGTAATGTGGCTGCACTGGGACCGATCGGGTTCTACCAGTTTGCACCAGTCCAGGATAAGGTCTGCTAAGCATCACTTGCCACCATTCCCATGTGAGGACTTTATACCCCTTACATCACCATCCATGGTATGGGGAAGGGGAGTGAAGGAATTACACAGGAATGAAGCCTGTCTGCATAATTTCCTTCCCAGTTCCTTCACCTTGCAGGGTTCTTCCTGCAAGGAACATAACCTTGTACTTGCTGCCAGGGAGCCCAGGAATTGCTTGTCCCACCCTGTCCCCAGCTTGCTGTCACCTTCTGGTTTGGGCTTGCCCAGCACCTTGAGGACCTCTGCGTTGGTGGGGTTGTGGCCGAGCGCCCGGAGGACGTCCCCACACTGTCCGTAGCTGATCTGCATCATCCCCGAGGGCGTCCGGTCAAACAGCCCAAAGGCTTCTCTGAACTCTGCAGGGAAAAAGGYTTGGAGTGGCCCCATTGCCACGTTGTGCCTGGCAGGCAGGGACAGGATGGACACGGGCAGGGACGGGACAAACACGTGTGTGGCTGTGCCCTCGGAACGCTTCACGGTCCTGACTGAGCTTGAGCAATGTGGGCTGAAGTTTGCCACACTCCTTGGACGAGTCGCTTGGCTGCTCCAGCAGGTTTGGTCACCTCTGCAGAGCTGGCTCRGTGACCTGCTGGATGCCTGCACCCTCAGCTGCCAGCTTTGCTGCAGGACATCCCCACTTATCCCCTTCTCCACTCGAATCTCCGCTCTCTGGGGCTGTCCTGCACTGCCAGAGGCTGCTCCTCCCACTAGAATCCCTGACTTTGACCAGGTTGCATCCCACACCTTGAATGAAAATACCTTTTCCCTGCCAGGCTCTGGATGCTGCCGGTCTTTCCCCCAAGAGGGGATTTGATGTGTGGGGTTTCAGCTCTTGTATCTGTGGTGAAAAACTACCTGGGAAAAGTATTACCCATTTCTAAATCCATCTCTGAGAGAAAATGAACTCAGCACTTACCTTCAATCTGCTCCGCYGTGAATTCAATCTGTGAAGAGAAGGGAGCAGAGCTGGGAATGAGGGGTGTGTGAGTGCTGGGGGGAGCAAAGGAACTCTCCCCTCTGGATGTTTCCCTCCCGGGCTTGGTGCAGGGGGCTGTGTCCCATATCCGTGCCATGTCTGGATGTGCCGTGTCCCCGACTGCTTCTGCCCTTGCTGCAGAGATGAGATCCCTGTGGAAAGCACAGCTGGCAGCAGCAGGATGGGCAGGCAGGAGAGATGCTCAGACCACAGTCAGGACTATTTTGGGTGGAAAGGATGYTATTTCAAGGCCTGATCCCAAGTTCAAGTGATTAAACAGCCTCCATGCTGAGCCTGYTCTTAATAACTCTCCTGCCACGGCTCTGGCTTAAAAATGTGAATATCCTGAGAAATCACGGAAAGAGCGGGCTCCTGTTGTGGAGCCATTGCTTAAAGGATGCTGTTATGTGGAGGAGGCAACACAGGCAACAAAATGATTTCAGAATGGAGACAGTGGGTGGCAGAGCAGCTTTTTATTGCTGCTGGGGCCCCGACACGGGGTCTCGGCAGGAGCTGGGGGGTTCGACTCTGTAGCCGGAGCTCCGGGAGAGCTGTCCCGGCTCCCTCCCGTGAGTGCTGGGCAGGGCTGGGTGGGGAAGACTGAGACATGCCCCCAGCTAGGACAGCACCACTCCCAGCCTGCTGCATCCACACAATCAGATCATTTTCCCCTCCCAAGACTGGCTCCCAGCCTGGCTAATGCCATTTGTGCAACGCTTTGCATCGCTTGTGCCCGGCAGATGACAGGCACAGAGAAACACGGTGACGTCTTCATTACTCACTCACCTTCACGCTCTTGGGATCGAAGGCAGGCTCCGAGCCTGGAGCTGATTTGGCTGCTTCCTTCTTCGGGTCGGGTTTCTTGAGCGGCATCGTGCCGGGATTTGCGGAGGTGCGGGATGAGCGCTGCCGCCCAGCGAGGGATGAAAGGCAAAGGCTGCTCCTTCGCTTATATACGGAGCCCAGTGCTCACCCGGGAGGGGCAGGCCAGCTGCTGGAGCAACTGCTACTTACTATAAAAGGAAGAAAACTCAAACGAGAGGGGCCCCAATTTGACAATTGCCCATTGTCATCAGCTCCTGGCTTCACGAAGCCATCAGCCGCCCCCCTCAGCGGCAAAAGGGGGGACGTCCCACTCCAGCACCTGCACCGGGTGGGCTGCATGGGGGCTGCTCGCTAAATGATCATTGAAATCTAAACGCCAATGGCCACGGGGGCCTGGCGAGAAAATAGCAACACGATGGCTGATAAAGCTGCTGTGGGGGAAACACGCCTGTTTGCAGGCAGGCCTGCGARGGCCAGCGCTGTGGAGCCCTTTTAATACCGGGATTTGTGAAGTGCTGCTTCAAAGGAGCTCAGAATTCTCTGAACGCTCCCCTGGCTTCGTGCTCAAGGTCTGCTTTGCCCCAGTCTCYCCCCAGGGCTGAGCTTGTGCCCTGGAAAAGACCACAGTGTAGGTGCTCTCCTCCCTCAGGATGGCTAATGAGGAAATGTGAATGATGGCCAAAGCCACAATTGTATTCATCARTGCAGGTCTTTCCCAGCCTTGCACCACCCATCCCAAGCACCCCCAAAACCTACAGGGCAGGTGGGATCTCCCTTTTCCTCCTCTTCAGGTGCTGGGCAGGCTCTGGTGTGAGATGCTCCTGCTCTCACCCTCCTCTCCCAACTGTTTGAAGACCCACAAAAGGCACAGCACTCACTGAAGTTCAGAATTCCAGAAAATGGGGCTTGCAGGTTACACTGAGAGTCTAAACCATCAACTCAAACAAGATGTGTGGGGCACCAGGACACGGAGGAGTTACAGGGGTCATTCAGGAGGAGGGAGCAGCCACAAACTGCTGGGAATTCACTGTGTGCCATCATCTCCTGTTTGCTGGCGGGATTGGGGAGCTGAGGGGGCTGGATGGGTGTCATTTGCAATCATTGCTTCCCAGAGCTCTCTAGAATATAACGAGTCATTTAGCAAAAAACCCCAACATGTTTTGCTAAGGGTGAACTCAGAGCCTGGGTCGGGTTTCGCCTGGGAAATCAAGGGAATCAAATTGCCCCTGAGCAGCCTCCCCCTCAGCATCCATCCGACTCCAAAATAACCTCACCTTAAYTCCATCCTCACTCCCCAGCAGCTTCTGGGTCAGCAACCAGACCCAGCAGAGCCTTCAGAAAATATTCCCTGATTCCTCTCTTCCCTCCGTGCCCATGCAGCATCCTGAGGAGCCACAGGCAGAGCTGGTGTCACACCCACACCACGGGCAGTGTCCTGCTGATGTCCCCAATCCCTTCTTGATTTTCAGCTGATGCCTGGGGCTTGTTTTCCTGTCTGATCYCMKCAGCAGCAGCAGCAGCAGCCTCTCCTGAGCCCTGCCACTGGTGTTTTCCGTGCTCCCTCGGCCTTTCCTCGCCACGGGAGCCCAGCAGGACTCTGACCCTCATGGGACCAGAATGATTTTCCTGGGCAGAAAAACCCCGAGGGAGGTTCTGGAGGGCTCTGCTGCTCTGTGCAGGATTGGGGTGCTYACAGAGGCAGCAATGGCTGTGTCTGGACAGGGATTACACAGCCAAGGGAGGGGCCCAGGCTGGGAGCTGCTGTTACAGGGATTTGGCACTGGGCTGCTGAATTCCAGYCTCATCCCACTAAGGACAACCTGCCTGGGGAAAGAGGGGTCCCCTCTTGGTGCCTCTTTTTCCCAGGGGGACACTCAGGCTGCTGGGGATCACAAGGTGTTGGAAGTGGCTGGGTGGAGGGGTCAGGGGGTGGCTGGGCATCCCTGAAAGGCAGGGAACAGCCCTGGGGCCACCCCAGGGGGATGCAGGTGACAAGGGATGGTGACAGCTGCAGTGGGACCAGCTCTGATCTGATACCCAGTGATGGTGGGGGCTGCTCCCTCCATCCCCTTGCCCCAGATGGAGCCTCCAGCCCCTCTCTGCAGGACACCCGATGCAAACATGCCCTGAGGTCACTGCAGGTGCATGGGGGAGCAGGACAGATCCCAGCACATCCCCCCAAAACACACCCCAGCCCCTGGAGAAGGAAAAGGGTTAAACTGGTGTCTGCCTGAAAGACATCCCATTGCAGGAGCATCAGCTCGAGGTGCTGCTCACGTGCTTGCACCCTGTGCCTCCCTGCCTCCAGCTACCTCTCCGCGATTTTCCCCACCTTCCTCTGGCTCCTTGGGACCAGTCTGGGGCTGGAGGGCACTGGGTAGCATGGGGCCAGTGGGGGAATGCTGTGACAGCTGAAAAATGAGCCACCAGGCAGTGAGAGAAGTTTCTGAAGAGAGAAGAGGAATCTGCCTTGAATGAAGAGGATTTTAGCACCTTGGGCTAAGCCAATAAACCTCTGCCATCCCCATCYGAACGGGAACTGTTTGCACACGCTCCCGGAGCTGCTTAAAGCGGGYGAGACACGAAGAGAGAATAGCATCGAGCATGGTTGGGGGAGAAACCCCCCTGCCYGGAGAGCCCTTGGGCAGATCCCTATAGCCCTGCTGGGGCAGTGCCCACAGGGACAGGGGACTCAGCCAGCCCTGAGCTCCCAGGGCCAGGCTGTGCCCCCACTGCCCCCTCACCTTGGCGGGGCCGGCAGCCGGGAAGGTGCTCCCTGAAGATGCTCTGTCCTGCTGGACACACCAGCCCTCTCCACCACTGGCAGCGGTTCTGCTCCTTGAAGTCCCCATCCGAGTGACACRGTGGTGGCACCATGGAGGCATCTGGCCCTGCGGGAGGTGTGGTGGTGACTCTCCTCTGCTGCTGTCTCCTGAGCTCGGCGTGGGCTCTGGTAAGTCTGCTCCRGTCCCTCTCCCGGCTTTAAATGTTCCTGGGTGTGCTCCTGACTCAGAGAGCTGCTGGGCAGGAGGGGAGAGCATTTGCACTCCCGCTGAAAGCTTTCCAGCAGCCATGGAGGCACTGCAGCGTGATGGCTTTTCCATTTCTTGGACACATCCAGGGCAGGGTTCAGCGCCTCGCGGGCGTCGGGGGAATGGAGCGCGTGGTTTACGAGCAGTGCAGGAGGGGCTGGGGGATGCAGAGAGGGCAGAGCTGGGCATAGCCAGTGAGAATCCCACAGCCAGGCACCCTCAGAGTCCCATTCCTGCYCCACATCCCTCASCAGCCCTCATCCACCCACCCTGAGGCTGGTTTGGGGCAGAGTGTGGACGGGAGTCCTGGATCTCCTCTCTGGGGTCAGATTTGGCAGTCTGGGGAGAGTGAGCCCTCTGCATCCTGGCTCCTTTTCACTTCCAAAGCTGTGTCCTCATCCTGCCTCTAAACTCCTTCAAGCCCAAAACACCCCAAAAGGCATTTGCACCTATGGTGCAATGGGGAGGCTGAAGGTGCCATGGGCTGCATTGTCTGCTTTGGGCACTTGGCACTCACTGGTTTGCTGAATCCCAGCTGGGCATTTTATTCATGGGCTGCCAGATCTCAAACATGGGCAACAGGGACATCCAGGACTGCTGATGGAGTGGGTGACAGGGAGCTGGGGCAGGAACCCAACAGGCCACTGATTTCTGCACAGAAACATGAGCAGGAATGACCATGAACAGGGTGGGAGGGGGCTTGGGGTCAGCATCAGCCGTGGGAGAAGGAAAAATGGGAACAGGAAGGCAGGAAACCTTTTTTCTCCCCTGTGTTGTTGAACCTACCCAAAGCCACCCTGACTGTCCTGGAGAGGGCTGGGAGAGCGTGGCCATGCCACGATCTGGACCAAGGTGTTGTCACTTGGGTTTTGTCCGGGCAGGTCGATCCTGATGATGTTCTCACAAAAGAAGAGCAGATCTATCTCCTGGTGGAGGCCAAAGAAAAATGTCAGAGGGACATCAAGGCCCAGCTGGAGAAGATCAAAGGTATTTTCCTTCCCCTGTGTTTGGGTCAGCCAGCCCTGGTGGAGCTGGTGGGGAATGCTGTCCCCTCCAACAGGGGACAGGGATGTGGGGACAGGGGAATGGGATGAGGGTGAGGACACCTGGCTTCTGGGGCTTTGTGGAGCTCATGGCACCCTGTGTACTCTGGGTGCAACCATCTCCCTGAGTAGCCAGCACTGGCTCCAGCATTTTCCAGACAGCTCCATGTACACCACAAATAAAAGCTGTGGAGGGGCCTTGCCCCATCTGGAAGAGGTGCTGCGTGTCCCCTGCCCCGGTGCCCTGCAGCTTCCCCCTCTCTGCAGCACAGGGGGCAGCTGGGGCAGCATTTTCCTCCTCCTTCTGCTCCAGCACACACCTGGGGAAGCTGGAGGATAAGGTTTCCTTGGCCTCTCCCTGACTGGAGAGATGTGAGAGGTGTCTTTGCTCTTTGGCCAGACCCCAGCTGCCCTCCGGAGTGGGAYGGGATCATCTGTTGGCCAAGGGGCTCCCCCAGCCAGGAGGTGTCAGCTCCTTGCCCTGACTACATCTACGACTTCAACCACAAAGGCAAGTCTTGGACCTGGGCACAGTGAGCTCACCCTGGTGACAATCATGGAGCAGGGACATGGCTGGGCTTGGCACAGGTCCTGCTGTGGTGCCACGGTGCCTGTTKCTGTTCCCAGGTCATGCCTACAGGTACTGCAGCGCCTACGGGACCTGGGCCATGGCTCTCAGCATCAACAAGACCTGGGCCAACTACACYGAGTGCGCCCTGCTCTTCTCCTCCGAGAGCCGGAGCCGGGAGAAGGTGAACTTGTTTGTCAAAGGTGCTGGGAAATGGGGCCAGGGAAGGATGAAGGAAGGGCAAGGGGAAGTGCTGAGGGTGGGGGACTCTTCTTTCTCAGCTCCTCAAACCAGCCCTGCTCTCCCCGTGCCCTGGGGGGAGTGGAACTCAGTCCTTCTCTTCCAGGAGGTGTTTGACCGCCTGCACCTGATGTACACCGTGGGCTACTCCATCTCGCTGGCCTCTCTCATCGTCGCTGTCTGCATCCTCTCCTACTTCAAGTAAGGAGAGGCCAAAGCCCCTCCTGGGTGGGAGAACCCTCCTCATCCCAGCCCCACACACATGGGCCCTGAGGAGGGGCAGCACCCAAAGTCTTAGGAACTACCCCAGACCCTGCAGAAACATCAGCCCATTTCCCAAAACCTCCAACACCCCAGTGTGAGCAGCTCCTGATCTGTTCCACYYTGCTCTCAGAAAGTGTGGACWCCCCACTTGCTCCCAGATRTGGTTCCTGTGCCCATGGCAGGGCTGACACCCCAGAGCTCACTCTAAGATCCCCCCTCCCTGTTACCTGAGCCCAGGTGGGATGAGTTGGGTGGGCAGCTGGGGCTGGGCTCACATCCCATCCCTTCCCTGCAGGCGTCTGCACTGCACACGGAATTTCATCCACRTGCACCTCTTCACCTCCTTCATCTGCCGGGCCCTCAGCATCTTCATCAAGGACGTGGTGCTCTACTCGGGGCCRGCGCCCAGCGACACCGACAGGATGCGCGAGGACGATTTCAGGGGCCCCTTGCCAGGACAAGGGGGTCACCTGGCAAGTGGTGGATGGGAGGAAAGGGGGATTTWGGAGCTCTGATGCAATGGGATGTGYTTGGGATCCTGCCAGTCCGGGGTTGTGCTGCTCAGGGGAAGGGGATGAAGGTCCASCTTTGGCTCTGCCCAGCTCCTCCCTGTCCTGGTGCCACGCTGGAGACCAGAGCCACCTCAGCCTGTACGGGGAATACCTGTCCTATGGAAAGGAGATGCTGCAATATCCCAGGGTAGATGTAGGTCTCTGCAAGAGGAACAGCTGGGTTTTGGTGASCAGAAAGCAAAAGCCACCAGGTTTTGCTCTTGGGGACCAGCCTGACACAAGCATCTCCCCGTGCCCACAGGTTGGCTGCAAGGTGGCGGTGACTCTCTTCCTTTATTTTCTGGCCACCAACCACTACTGGATCCTGGTGGAAGGTCTCTACCTGCACAGCCTGATCTTCATGGCCTTCCTCTCCAACAAGAACTACCTGTGGGTCCTCATCATCATCGGCTGGGGTGAGCACAGACCCCAGCCCTGCTCCTGGGGAGCAGCACCGAGTGCCCAGGGGAGGGCAGTGGGATGCAGGAACTGCTTTGATCTGCAAAGGTGATGCTTCAATCTCGCTTCTCACTCTGGCTCTGCCCCTCCAGGTGTCCCTGCTGTGTTTGTGTCCATCTGGGCCAGCGTCAGGGCCTCGCTGGCGGATACACAGTACGTACACCCACCTTATCTGAGGCCTTTGGGAGGGCAAGAGTGATTGCAAACATCAGCAGAGTATCTGTGGGCACCAGAGCTCTTTGGATAYAAAAATTTTCCAAAGCAACAAGAGGAGGGAACACTCATTCAAGGCTTGCTGATAGAACTGTCAGCAATGCAGAGCGATAGTGGTTTTGTTCTGCATTTGGCAGGATGGGGGATGSAGGTTTGCAGCACAAATTGATCAATAAACAGCACAGAGATGGATGCTAAAGGGCACACTGTGGGGTGAGGCATTTTGAAAGGGGAAAGGCCACTACGTGAATGGCAGGGGTTTGGGATGAGGCGGACATTAATGCACATTTAAACCTGCTTTGCCCCACCATGGTGGTTACAGATGACTGTAGCCATGGCTTGAGATTTACACAAGGCACACCAAGGGGGTTGAAGGGTGGGAGATGGGGCTGCAGGGGTGGTTGGGGATACCATTTACCAATTCACCTTCCCAGTGAGGTCAGGTTTCTCCAAGGAGTTTTTTTACTGGATTTCACAGGTGCTGGGACCTCAGTGCGGGGAACATGAAGTGGATTTATCAGGTCCCCATCCTAGCTGCCGTCGTGGTAAGAATCCTGTGGATGAACCTCTCATTTCCTTTTGGGGCAAGAGGATTGATAGAGGCCAGAGCTGTTCATTTGTGGTCACTGGAGTTTTGTGCTGGCCACTCCAGCACCCAGGGAGGGCCCAGAGGGACCCAGGTGCTCTGCCCATGGCATCACCCCCAYGTCCCTGCCTGCAGCTCACCCAGAGCTGCCCATCTGTGTCCCCGGGGCTCCTGGGGCAGACCCCAGGTCACTGTGGGCACTGTCACCCCTTTGGGTGTCTGTTGGCAGGTGAACTTCTTCCTCTTCCTCAACATCATCCGGGTGTTGGCCTCCAAGCTCTGGGAGACCACCACAGGCAAGCTGGACCCCCGGCAGCAGTACAGGCGAGTGCTGGCARCACCAAACCCTCACATCCTCCCTGYTGRGCCAGGAGGGCTCCCAGGGGCTGTGAAGGAGGAGCAGAGGTGTGGGAAAGGCTGGAGCAGTGAGGACAGCAGGACAATGGCAGCCAGCGCTCCTGGCAGCTCCTRCCTCAGGAGTTTCAAGTTTTTCCCACTGCCACCTCCAGCCTGGACACTGGGGTGGCCTGGCAGGTCCTGGGTGACAGCTCTGAGGTTTCCCCTTTCAGGAAGCTGCTCAAGTCCACGCTGGTGCTGATGCCACTTTTCGGAGTCCACTACGTGGTGTTCATGGCCATGCCCTACACCGAGGTCTCGGGGCTGCTGTGGCAGATCCAGATGCACTATGAGATGTTCTTTAACTCCTCCCAGGTGTGTTCTGTGGGATTGCTCTGAGCCCTGAGGAATGTTCACCCAGGGAGGCTCAAACTCCACCTCTTTTTGTCTCTTGGCAGGGTTTCTTTGTGGCTTTTATCTACTGCTTTTGCAATGGGGAGGTAAGTGGGAAGAATGAGCTGAGCTCCCTGTTCCAGCCCCTTTAGGGTGGGGAAGGCAACCTGCAGCCCCAGGTTGCGATTACCAGGGCAAAAAGCTTGGATCCAGCCCTCTGAGTAGGATTTGGAGGGGCAAAAAAAGGGAAAAGGAAAGKAAAAAGGGAAAGAGAGGAAAGGGAAAAGGGCAGGGAAAAGGGAAGAGGAAAGGGAGGGAAGGAAAGGACAGGAAGAAGGGCAGGGGGAAGGTGAAGAAAAGCTGTTTTGCTGYCCTCTCTGCTCTCTCAGGTGCAGGCCGAGATCAAGAAAGCCCATTTCCGGAGGCTCCTGGCGCTGGATTTGGGGCAGCAGGCGCGCCCCGGGAGCTGCTGCTGTGCTGGGCTGGGCTCCCAGGCCCCCCAAAGCTGCAGCACGAGTCTGGCAGGACGGGGAACAGGGGGCACCCGGGGACCGCTGCTCCCGGCCCGGCCCCGCCTGCCCGGATACACCCCCAGCTCCGGAGCCTCGGACCAGCTCCTGCCCTGCCCCGCCCAGGAAATGAGCCAAAAACCGCGGGGGGAAAACACGGGGGATGTGACAGAGCTGAGCCAGTGTCAYCCCAACCCCAGCAAGGAGCTGGAGACCATGCTGTGAGGAGGGTGGGTTTCCTGCCTGGGCATCCAGATGTGCCTGGGAAGATGCTGATCCTCACGCTTCGGGCTCTGCTTACACCTTGCATGGAGAACGAGGGTTGGGATAGWGGCTGGAACAACCCAGCTCCTTTCCTTCAGAGCCAGGGAGCAAGGGAACTGCGTGCTCTCACTCCTCCTCCTCCCCCRGCCCAAAACCAAGTCATAAAACCTCATTTTCCTCCACGTGCAAGCGAYCCATGTGCTGTCTGTGCATGCAAAGCCTTGAGTCTTCACCAGGAAACAACCTCCAAGTGGGAAGTGACTTCTGCAGGGTATTAAAGCCCGTGGCMTGAGCTCAGTCCTGCCTCAGAGTCCCCGACTCAGCCCCAGCTCCGGCCTTGTCCAGCCTGGGGGAGCACAGAGTGCCCATGGAGCTGCTCTGCAGCTCACCCTGCTCTCCCTGCCATCCTCTGCAGCTCGTGGATGGTGTGAACACCAACACCCCAGCACAGATTGGAGCAGGGTGCTGGAATAGGGTGGGCTGAGGGAAGTAAGACAAGCTTTGTGGCCTGGAAGGGTGCAGCAAATACCTGGATCCCCAGCACTTCATCCATTAACACAAAGGCCCCTGCATGCAACAGTTGTGGCCCTGTCATCTCATTGCAGGCTAAAATGTGAATAAAGAGTCTGTCTGGCTTGTTTCCAGCCTTGTGTTCCATTCCAGACCCAGCAGCAGAGGGGGAAAGGCTGGAACCCCACCCCGTTCCCAGGGGATCCCTCTGCCCTGCACCTGCACTGCCTGGGAAAGGGAAAATGCATTCCCAAAGAGCTGCTGCATGTGGCAGATGAATCAAACAGCATATTGTGGGCAGCATGGAGCATCTTTATCCTAGAGTCCCTCAAAGCAGCAGTTTCATGCTAAAGACAGTGAAAGGTGAATAATTCTGTGCATTCCCGGATATTTGAGTGAAAAGCAAAAGTGCAAAGGGAATCATTGGGAACTGGAGGGACAGCCAGGCAGGAGCCATGTCAGGGAAAGGAAGGGCTCCAGGATTCACACTTCTTAAATCATCTCCTGGATGGAATTTGTCTCTTTGGAAGAYACCAGCACAGCCACTGCAGGGACAGATTCCCTCTCAGGGCGGAATGCTGCTCACACTGCTCCCTTGTTCCAGTGAGGATGGAATCAACCCTCCCATGGACCTCACACAGCCCTGCCAGCTGACATTCGTGGCTCCCTGTCACTGATCAATATTTACTCACTCTCTTCCCAAGAGGCTCCTGGTAGCTGGGAGAGGGGTGAGGAATTTCAATAATCCTACAAAAAGCAGAGGGAAGTGTTAAATAGAAGGGGAGAAGCCCCAGCATATGCCTCACACGGGGCCAGTTCCCAGTGGCAGCGAGCTGGGATCTGCAAAGGGAGGGAGCAGATGGCAGCTCAGACTATGAGGCTATTTTTAYATTTTGTTTTGAAACTGCAATCTTTAATTGCAAAGTGATGAACCTTCAGGGTTAGAAGGGAAATACAGCAGCTTGTAAGGCCTAGCCCTGAAACACCCCTGTCTTCACACCAAATGTGCAGAGCTCAAACCAGGGCAAGGATTCCTGCACAGACTGTGAGGAGGGAATTCTGGAAGCTATTTTAAAAAAATTCCAACAGATTAGAGCAGGTTTTTGAGGATGCCCAAATGACTTGGTCTCTCAGCTGAAGCCAGTTCAGGTGTCAGTCAGATCTCACAGAGGAAAATCTATTCCTCAGGAGGCCTTGAARCTAAAAGGGGGTTTGTGAAATATTTTGGGGTGAAAGATACTAAGAAAAACCACAKGAAACCTTTTATCAACTACAGTCCTCAACTTTTGGTGAGAGAGACACAATCAAATCTCCAGACAGTCAGCTCTCCATCCACACATCAGGGCAACCAAAGGAAGTGGAGAATAAAAAGCACATGCTAAGTATTTTTGTACCAGTAATAAAACATTTACTAGAGCAAGCAGAAAGTAAATGCACAGCTGATAAAGAAAACATCACAATGTCACAAAACCCTGACAGCTTCTGGTACTTCTTCCAGTGGAAATGTGCCAGCGGTGGGTGCTGACATGTTCCAACTGAAAAGTTCTTCCCTACCTCGTGGCAAAAAAAAAAGTTAATGAACAGGTAATACATACAACAAGTTAAAAATGGGCAAGCAAGATTTTACAGATTTACTACATGTGTCCAATATGGGGCCAGATTTGAGCTGTTTCTTTTCATGAACTGTTTTTGGGTTCTCCCTAAAGGCTTCTGAGCAACAGATCCCTGAATTTCTGAGTGAAGCATCTTCTTTTAGCCACACTTCCTGGGGGCTCCAGCCTCTGACTGTTGTGGTGTATCTACATTGTTTTCCCTTTTCTGTTTTTAATTTGAAGAAAGCACTCAACCCTCTCAGAACAGAGGGTGCATAGGCACAGCAGAGAGACAGGTTTGCTATGCAGGCTTCCACCAGAATGAGGGAYATTAGGAAACAGGAGGTTCTCTGAAAGAAAAAAAATATCTGGGCAATGGGATTGGAATTGAGTACTGACCACAAACAAGCCAGGGAGTCCAACCTACACTACAAGTGGATTTGTGGTTTGCTGGACTGGAGAAGGATCCCTTGAACAGTTACACACACAAATCAAATCAAATTTAAAAAAAAAAAAAAAAAGTAAAAAGAAGAAAAATCAACTTGCTCTGCCCCACCTTCAGCAAAGCAAATTGATGCATTCTTAGTTGATGGGGAGAGAGGTAAGGTGCAACCTGGAGGCCAAATTATTTGGGGAGAAGAGAGTATGTGAAAAGGACATGGGGGAAGAACTCACCATACTGMCCAAACTGCTGCAAGATTAATGTCTAACAGGCAGGTCCTGAGCATCTCTAGGTGGACTGGACTGGTTTGGAAATGTGAACGCTGGTTAAGAAAAGACTAATTTATACTTCTATGGACAACAGTTTCTTAASGTTCCAAGCATGTGGAACAGCTTCTTTTTGTCAAGATCTGTTTAAATCCAGCAGAGCCACTCGAGCACTGAATGTTTCAAAGCAGAGCCCAGGGAGCTTTATCAAAATGATTTCTTTGACTGAGTGTTGTGTGCATTTCTGTCCGCAGATGAACTTGCATGGGGCGTTCTCAAGGTTTCCTTCTCCTGCCCCAGCTGCTGAACAACCAGTTACCAAAAACCCCAAGAAATCCTCTGGAAAAAGACAACACTACCTGCAGAGATTCCAGGCTGTGAACCCCCAGCTTTTAACTGTCCCACCGGCTTTTCTTCCTTTTTGGGGGCTCTGGGACAGCAAAACCATCTGTTTTGTTTTCTCGGCTGTTGGCATCCTTCCTGTTCTCTCCGTTCCTGCTCTCGCTGTTCCTCCCTTCCGTGCTGTTCCTGCTGTCACCGTTGTTGCGGTTGCCGCTGCCGCCCGGGAAGTCGGTGAAGTGCCGGCCCTCGCCGTGGCGATGGAGGTCACCGTGGCGGCCGTCGCTGTGCCGGGAAGGGTCACCGTGGCGGCCACCGCCTTCGCCGTGGCGCTGGGCATCGTTGTAACGCTGGGTGTCATTGTAACGTTGGGCATCATTATAACGTTGGGTGTCGTTGTAACGTTGGGTGTCGTTATAACGTTGGGCATCATTGAAACGTTGGGCATCGTTGTAACGTTGGGCATCGTTATAACGTTGGGTGTCATTGTAGCGTTGGGCATCATTGAAACGTTGGGCATCGTTGTAACGTTGGGAGTCATTGAAACGTTGGGTGTCGTAGCGTTGGGCATCGTTGTAACGTTGGGTGTCGTTGTAGCGCTGGGTGTCGTTGTAGCGCTGGGTGTCGTTGTAGCGGCCACCGCCATCTGCACGGCCACCGCCATCTGCACGGCCACCACCATCAGCACGCCCACCGGCCTCTCCACGGCCACCGCCATCAGCACGGCCACCGCCATCAGCACGGCCACCGCCCTCGCCGCGCCGCGGGGCCTCACAGTGCCGACTGTTCCGGTTGTCGTTGTACCGTTCTCTGACGACGCCACCGCCGCCACCGCCACCGCCYTCTCGACTGTTGGCGCCGGCATTTGTGTTGTTGAAGCCCTGCGCTCCGACACTCGGGAAGGTGGGAACGCTGCTCAAATTGCCGCTGCTGGTGAAGCCCGGGACGCCCTTTGCYGCCGCGGTGGCTGCGATGGGGCTGTCGGGATTGGTGGCGTTTTGCTGCGCTGAACTCGTCGGGACGGAGTTCAGGCTCCCGGCGCTGGTCCAGCCGCTGGCACCAGCRGCAGAGCTCCCAGTCTTTTGGTTATTTAAACTTGCAGCAACAAAGTGACTTTTGTACTGGGACTGCAGGAAAGGAAGAGATAAAAGAGAGCGGGTTTGGCTCTGAGCTGCCACACAGAACACGGAGTCATCGTGCGTTCACAAGCCCGCCTTGGATTTAGGGGAGACAGAATTCCCAGAAAAAGTCAGTCTTGGAGTGATTACACTCCTGCTGTACTTATGGACACATAGCTAACAACAGGTACTTCCTACCAGACCACACCAACAAGGCAATTCTTACATGGTGGGGTTAAGTTTTACACTGAAGGGAAAAAGCTTTTGTTCCCCTTTTCTTTTGTTTGCAATTATACTATTGCTGCTAAGCAACCTCAACAGGATCAAACCCAGGCACAGAATCCAGAAAGAAAAAACACCAAAGAAGCAGCAGAAAACAAAGTAAGTTTGGCAAATTTGTGCAAACATGTTCAGTCCAGCCTGCACCTAATTCCACCACTYGGGACTGCACTGCTGAGTGTGCTCCCAGTGACACGGTCACAACCACCATGCTCAACTTCCCTGAAATAAGAGGGCTGCTGCATTTGCATGGAAGAAAAAGAGCCCAAGTCATGGAACCAACCTGGAAAGCTGCTTTCATTGCTGTMAGCCTGTCCCCCATGGCCCCCGTGGAGGGCTTGTAGGCCTCGTAGTTGCTCATCACACTGTTGTTGTTTCCACGGTCCTGTGAAAAACACAAAGGGCAACTGCAGAGGTTTATCCCACGCAGACACTCTCAATTCAACCACTCCCCAAATCTATCCTGTCCCTTCACTCAAGAAATACATCCACTAAGAATGACAGACTTGTGGAGAGCCCTGAGCAATGGAAAAGTTTGCTCCATTTCTTTTCTGCCAAGAATCAGCCCAGAAATGGCTTTTGAAGTAATTAATTAGCATTTATTTTACAGTGACAGTCTATTCTATGAGGAATCTCCAAACCTTCTGGATCATTCTGGCTCTAAACAAAACTCTTGACAAGAGGACAACAGCACAGAAGACTTTCACTTGAGATACTTGATCCTAACTCTGAGAGATGCTGAGCTATGAGAACTTTTAAAGCAGATGCTGTAATCCAGTACCAAGATGTTTTAAATTAAAGAGTAATCAATACTAAGTGTAAAAGTCCAAAGAATTTGTGAACAACCTCTCCAGCATCTCTACTTACAGAATTTTCTGAGCCCAGCCCAGGGCGTTCGCGGTATCCCAAGCCACCACCACCRATATTCAGCTTCTTGCCCTTCCCTCCTTTAAAACGGGATTTCCGGAACCATGGATTCTGTAACAAAAGGACAAATGTTTCTCAAMACAGGGAATAAAAAGCTTCACAAATGAATATAATGAGGCTTGGGGAAAAAAAGGATACTGAGCATTTCAAAAGAAAAACATAAATACTGTTTTCAATTCAACCACACAGCTGCTGTAGACAGTTGTCATGTGGTCTGATGCTTTRGGTTACAAATGCTTTCTATGAAAAYRAATTTTATGCCTTCAACTCTYATCCRTGWKAAGGTTTTGGGGTTTGCATTYTAATAAACCCAGAAACAAACACAATTTCCAATGCCATCACTTGGGAGCTCTGCTCTTGCTCATCCTTTGGTTTCACTGATTTAGCCCAGTGCCTGGCTAAGGAGAAATAAGGATCTGTCAGCAAAACTTTCTGTGCTAAGCAGTGGCCAGGGAATGTCAGCCAAACAAGACCTCCTGTTTCCAGTGTTTAAATAATAGTTGGCTGCACCTCTTTATGYCCTACAGTCTCTCCAATGTGAGTGAGTCAGTTGGTTTCTCATGCTCCTCTCAAGGCAGACAGGAGAGCTCTGCCTCACTAATTCTGTCCMTTCTGAAAATGCTGCCTCTGTATGTCAGAAAAAGTATTTATTCCTGGCAGCTGCTGTCCAGGCTGTTTGCTAATGTAGCTACGGGTCTGCTAATCCATCTCTGAATTTGGGAATCAGTAAAAAGCCTGAGGTCTCTTGTAGCTACACAGGCAGCAAAAGACAAGAAATTAAAGAGTTGATGAGTTGAGTGGCATAAGCACAATTGCTGCAGCACCTGTCATACCTAAATATAGCAAACCTGCCAGAGAGCATTACCAGGCAGGTGCAATGATCAAGGAACAACCCTTTCACAGAGTGAATGTCCCTGTAATTGTTTTCTAGTTTAGCTTTCAACTAAGCTGCATCTCCCAGGTGCCTGCCATAAATCTGACTGTAATGAGATGCTGGAGTGCTCTGCTGACACCAGCAGATTATAGCTCCCGATTTCCAAGGCACTGCCTGCCCCAAAATAGATCACATACTCCATTCCAAAATCTTCATGGATTCTTTCAAGGGCCATTAAAACACCAGGAAACCAACTTTAAACCAGGACAGATCCCCAAAAGATCACTGCTGACACATGATGGAGCCAGCAATGCGAGCTGGCTGATTTTGTGCTGAATCTGGAGTGAAATTCCCCATCTCAAGGAGTTTTGCTGGTTCATACCTGCATTGCCAGATCCAGCAGCTCTTTGGAGACATGTTGGTTGGCACCCTCCAGGTTTCTGACAAGGTCACCAGCGAAGTTGCTGTCCTTGGGGGTCAGCAGAGTGTAGGCAACTCCCTTTTCCCCTGCACGGCCGGTGCGGCCGATCCGGTGCGTGTGGGTGTCTATGTCCCGAGCCACGTCGTAGTTGATGACAGTCTTGATGGAAGGGATATCCAAACCTCGAGCTGGAAGAAACAGCAATGTGGTGGGAAGTGTAATTATCCCAAATTAACTCCAAGAAATCCCTCTGGTACCAGGGTATCACCCTGCTCTGGTCCAGTGGGCAAAAGGAGTGTCGGGTGATGAATGAACATCAACCACTTCCTTAAGACACAGCTTATTTTCTTTCTGTATACTAAAAAGTATGTCAGAGTGTAATTTAGGCATCATTAGGAGACTAAAATAACACCCCTTGCCAATGCCATGTACTGCACAGGCATACAGTGTGATTCTTGGGGATGTCTGTGCAGGGCCAGGAGTCCTCCATGACCCCTGTGAGTCTCTTCCAGCTCAGGAAATTCCACAGCTCTGAAAAGCACCTGGAACACTGTCCTGCAGGTGCAGAAGCCAACCTGGTTGTCTTTCACTCAAACATATTTGCCTTTCTGCTGATACMCACAGCTTGTCTGAGATGCATTCCAGAATGTCACGTACCTGCCACATCGGTTGCTACCAATATGGGGATCCCCTTTTTCTTRAATTCTGAAATGACTTTATTCCTCTCACTCTGGTCCATGTCCCCGTGGAGCAGCCCCAGGTTATGATCCTCCTGCTTSAGGTTATTGGCCAGCTCCTCTGCGTTGGCTTTCTTGGTGACAAAGAGGAGGACACTCCCAGAGGAKGTGAACTCCACCAGGCGCCGCGTCAGCCAGTTCCACTTGCTGGGCCCAGAGGGGAAAATCTCCACAATCTGAGTGACATCTTCATTTGCCTAAGGGGAGAAATGTCCTCACAGTCAGGAAGGTGGGAGGAATAAACAGACTCCCCAAAAATTCTGCATCACAGGTAATACAGTGCAGTACAGTTCATAGCACTACCTGGAAGTTTCTCTGAAATATTTAATTTTTACACATTTTAATATTATTTCAAGGATGATGCTCCCTRTATACAGTAATAGCTTAGATCAATGAATAGAGGCCCTGTGATTGAGCTGGGAAAGCTGATACTTCTCTTAAGCAAAACCAAGGAAAAAATTTCCCAGAAAGAAGGGGCTTCAGTCAGTTATTTCTTGTTATAAAGGGACCTCATTAAAAAAAAATACTGAGAACTAGTTAACATAATGTTCTGAAGGCATCTTGTGAAATTCCTCAACAGTTTCAATATATTAGCAAGGCTTTTTTCCCACATAAACCATAGTATTACCCACGTAAGCCATAGTATTACCTCCCCAATGTCTCCTTGCACAACACGAATTGGGTCAATCAGAATATCCCGGGCCAATTTCTCAATCTTCTTACGGAACGTGGCACTGAACAAGAGGGCTGGAAGAGAAACAGAGTTCAAACTCCTGGAAGTAGAAACTTTCTTTCAGAACTGTGAAAACACTGCACAGATGTTGTGAAGGAGGATCTGGATTCCTGAGTGTCAGTGAGCTGAAGCTGAGGYTTTATGGATTCTAATGGAAATTACCAACCACTGTTAGAATACCAAAGTGAAAACACATTTCATRGCATCTGAAATGTTGATAATATGGAGAACTGCTGCTCAGAACACTGAGTTTCAAGGCATATGAACATGAATTCAGCTAATCATCCTTGCTGAGTGTAATCAGTGGAGGGATTAGAGAAATGAGCTGAATGCCAATATCACAATTGCTCCCTCCCAACAGCCCGTGCTGAGAATAACACCAGGGACTTTGGCACAAGCCTCCTGGTGTGGCTGTGTCCAGAACTGGAAATCCAAGCTCTGCTCCAGACTCACTGTTTACTCACTCTGTCTGTCAGGACGTACGTGGCTTGCAATTGATCTGACCTGATATTCTGCAAAGGAGAAGAAATGCTCTTATCAACACTATACTCTCAATATTTAATAGAATTAAATCAAAATGCAGTTTCATTGCTTTATTTAACACATAACCACACTTTAAATGAGTGCTTCTCACTCATTATTAATTTCACAGATTCACAAAGCTGGGATTGGGCACCACTGCTTTCCAAAACAGTGACTTTGGTTCAATACGTACCAAACCCCATATCAAACATTCTGTCAGCTTCATCAAACACAAGGTAAGTGACTCTCTGAAGGTTTGTAGCTTTCTTTTTCACGTGATCAATCAAACGACCCTAGTAGGAAAAAACTCCAAGTTTTTAAAGCATATTTGAAAATGTTGATATATACAATGACTTCAACCACTTAGCAGCTTTTTATCCTGACTTACCAGAGATTTAGAACAGAAAATCTCAAGGCTTCAGTCTAGAATTAAGTGTCAATATTGTCATAGAACAGATTCTTACAACWTTTTTCAAGCTCAACAATGCAAAAGCCTGTACTTGGTGCACACAGGTACTTACTGGTGTGCAGACCACGATCTCTGCCCCCTCCTGCAGGGCYTTGGCTTGCTCCCACATGCTCCCTCCTCCGTACACAGCCACRGAGCGCAGGTTATAGGCCTTGCCAAAGCGTTTGCACTCCGAGTGGATCTGAGGGTGTGACACAAATACAGCACAGCTCAGGTCAGACACCTCTGAGACAACACACCTACTTTGAAAACACAGCACAGCTCCTGAAATGCACTTTTCAGCTACCAGCATAATGAAATTATTCTGAACTCCTCAGGCATGAATACTTTGATACATGTGGATAATTTCCAGTAACTTGAGAAACCTAGTTAGGCATCCAACAATAATTTAACCTGCAGGCTCTATCCTTTTGCACATACAATCTGTGGCAATGCATCCACAGCATTCTTATACCTAAAAATAATACAGRAGCACTGTGCAAAAATTAAAAAACTTAGATTCTTTAAGAAAAYAAGGGCAGGAAAGAGCTGTGAGTTAGAACCAGGCTACTCATGTACAGAGTAGATTCTTCARATACTTAACTGAGATTTTGTGGTAATTTTTGCCAAGAATTTTGCCTTTTTCTCCAAGAAGACTGGCTGGCAYACACAGGAATGCTGCACACCTACCTGCTGGCAGAGCTCCCTGGTTGGGCAGACAATCACTGCAATGGGACCATCCCCTGGTTCAAGCTCTTTCTGATCCATGATGTGGATCAGCATGGGCCAGATGAAGGCAGCTGTTTTCCCACTTCCAGTTTTAGCTATTCCAATCATGTCTCTGCCACTTAGTGCCACTGGAACACCCTAAAAAGAAGGAAATTGTACATTACACCCACCTTGTGTTAGACAGTACAGGAAAACTCAGGCAACAAGAGGAAAGTTTGAGACAGAGGACTCACAGCAACAATTTATCAATGCTTACACAATTTTATTGCTAAGTTCAACTCTGATGGAATTTGTTTTAAGGGGCTGGAAAGCATTACCATGTTGGACTGTTGATGGCCTGAATGAAATCAATGTCTGGGCACAGTAAAGCACCCCAAGGATATATTTGTATATACACAAATGTCTCTTGTCCAGCTCTAAGAATGTCAAAAACATTGCAGTAGAACCCCTTTAGTTTGCACAGCTCTTCAAGGAATAAAGTTKTCAATTTATGGCTCTTTATTCAGATACTGATATGGTTATTTTTAATACAATTCTTAAAACAAAAAAACCAATCCAAACTTTTCATACATTTCTATAAGCAAGAGATTGCTAATATACTTGAAAGTTCTTCATTTACCAAAAAAAAAACAATGTAAAAGGAATATGGATATATTTACAGCAGTCATTTACCAAGAAAAAATAGTGGAAAAAATTTCTATTAAAAAATATCAAAGCTGTTTCTCTAGAAAAACCCACAGGTCTCTGCAGGCAGCTGGAATTGTATCTGTCACATCCTCATATGGATGAGGGAGCTTTGCATGTGTTCTTTTAGTTCTCTTTGGAAGTCTGAGAAGTAACAACACTCACCTGACATTGTATTGGAGTGGGTTGGGTATACTCAGATTTCCTAATCTGATGCATAAGTTGCTCATCAAATCCAAAATGAGCAAAACTACTGCCAGGCCTTGGAGGAGCAGCCCCGGAGACCTTGGAAAGAGAAAAAGATTTTTGTTCGTGAATGGTGAGARAAAAATAACGAGCAATCTGTAAAAAAACAAACAAAAAAAAAAGAATCTGCCTCTGAAAAATAATTTTAGTTCTTGAGTGCATATTAAATTTCACTGGGGGCAAATTCCAGATGTGTTGTGTAAATAAGACTTTCAGGAATAAAAATTTACATTATCTGTCAGTCAACATGAGCTACAAAATGTTGTTTTTACCTCCTTGTGTATAACTGGTGTCCTACCCCAAATAATTGCCTTCACAGAAAGTCACCCAACTAACATCTCACAGATTGCAAAGAACTGATTTCTGAATATAACATTCCCAGTTTTAATTCCCAGCTCTGGAGTTATATGGTGTAACCATATAACTGGCACTCCTCACTGCTCACTTACACAAATCCATAAGAAAATGTCAAGAAATTAAAGTAAGATAGTCCAAAAATAAAAGGGAGTAAAAGCTGCTGGGAGGACAGTTTTATGCCCAGCTTACCCGGAGGTTCAGCTTATGCCGTAGCTCCACCACTTGCTGTGGGGTCAGGCTGGTGATCTCCTCATGCTCATCATAGAAATTCTTCTCAAATGGTGGGTATTCAATCTGCAAGGTAATTAATTAATTACTCAGTTAGTCCAGATCAAGATTCCCTTTTTTTCTGAAGTTCTTAAATTATCTGCCAGAACATTTACTTAAATTAAACCATTTCAAGGACCTTTAATATGACTTASCTAAGAAAGCACTGAAATATTACAGGGCCTGCTCAGCTCCTGCTTTCTGGAAATCCCTCAAAGAGAACAGAACACAATTCCCTCCTACCTCTGAATGGTCAATAGGTGGAAGAGGATCAATGATTTTTTTGGACGGTGCAATTGGATTCCCATCACTGTCATACTCCAGGTTATCCTCTTCCTCCTCTTGCACCACACCAGCAGTGGGGTTYTCAGCCATGTAGCGAAAATACGCTTCCTGCAGCAAAACAGATCAGCAAACTCACATACAATAGGATGCAAAATTGCTACTGTTTGTTGAAGTGATGTATGTGCTAAGTGGCTGTTTGCTTTCACAGCCACCACGGAGGAAAAAAGTAACTACATTCACTAGAACTGGTTCTTCTGACAAACACCAACAGATACACCCAGAAGGACAAGACGTACAAATCAAGAAAACAACTCCAGTGTCAGCTACACCACAGAATGCTCTTAAAACCCAAACTTCTCTAATTTGCCTGCTTAACAACTTCTTCTACCAAGTCTTTGCTATGTTTAACAACAGAAGGATCTACTCTCACTTCCACATGAACAAAGCACAAATCTGTCCATTTCTAACCAGAAAACACAATGTCTCTAAGCATATGTTAATTTTTTTAAACAAGCTATGCCCAATATAGTTTCTTTACTTTCCCTAACTGGACTCTAAGAAATTAAAATATACCTGTTCTTCATTGAGAGAGTCAACAACAAATGTGAAAGAAACTATTTCAGAAGAGTCCTTCAAGACAAGCCCAAGTTAAGACAGTGCCACCCTGTCACATGCCATTCTCAGAGCTCACAAAGATGTTTGTGTCTCACTGGCACACCAAGACTTTCTCACAGAGAAAACACCAGTCTCACTTGACTTTATATTTAAGATCAGACTTGTAAAGCAAGGCTCAATTACAAATTTATGTATATACTCATCTGACTTTTCCATTTTCCTGGCCAATATCCCTCAGTCACAGAGCTGTGCACACAATACACTTGAACAGCTGTCCCCAAACATAAGCCACCTCTGCTCAAACTTTGGCACAGCTACACTCACCACTCTGCAAGCAAAGGCCTCAAGCCAGACAACCCTGGCAAGCTCTGCATTTATACAAGTAACACAAGAGTTAGTAACTAAAACTCACTAGTAAGGTATGTTTTGAAATGAAGTATTTTCTCTTTATTATTTCTGCTACAGTGATGTTTATAAAACTCAATGAGAACTGAAGCTTCTTTGAAAATAGGGATCAAAATGCCTGATTTTTGCTCTTAACAGACCCCACATTTCACTACAAGGTGCCTCCACAGTCCAACAGACTCTCCCTGGTCTCTGGAGCTGATTGTGCTAACTGCAATTTGTGAGATCCTCAGACAGTGAAAAASCTGTACAGAAAGCTGAAGTTCAAACTGACTGAAAAAGATCTTCAATAAATGCAATTGTCTAATATTCTTCTTAAAACACCTAGAAGGGCAGAGACAGCAGGGTAACCACTACAGCTTCCTGCTGAATTGTCCRGATACTGTGCACCATACTGGAATTTTGTTTGTCCCTGGCAGTTATGTGTTTGGAGAGTGAAGGTAAAAAAAAAAACAAAACAACAAAAAAGAAGATAGAAAGACTGCATAGGAACTCACTTGGTCATCTTCCTCTTCAATGTCATCTCGAATACCCCTGGAAAAACAAGCGGAGAAAAAACTTCCCTGCAAGTGTTCCACAGACTCAGCTCAATAGTTTCATTTGATTAGTGCTGAGCTCCAGATTTYGTGGAAGACACAACACTATCAACTTGGCAACATTTATATTCCCAACCCATGGAGTTTTCATATCTGGTGCCAACCATAGCAGCAACCCTGCAAAGACTTCTCTTTACTCCTAGTACTGAGACTGAAAGATTTAGGACTCCATCTTCCCAGCAGAAGCCACATCAAAGATCATCCTGGTCTAAGCTCTTGATGCTACAGAGGTCCCATAACTGAAGAGGAATATGAGCCAGGAAGTGCAAATCCAGTTCAGAACTTCCCCAGGTGGTGATTTGGATCCGGTGTTCTGTGTCAGGACCATGTATAATCTGATCAACCCCATGCAATGTAAGTTCTACCAATATATCTCACATTTCTATCAAGAATCAACTATTTTCTTTTTTCAAAAACAAACAGATAAGCTGCACAAATTTAAACTCCAAATTTATTACCCCAATTGTCACGTGCTACCTAAACTATCAGCTGTAATATCTAAAATCCTAGACCAAGTTTGGAAGAGCCTCCAGTACTCCAGGAACAGCAGCACTGAGTTACTTTCCTCACAGAAATGCTAAATTTTATGCTAAACCATCCTGCTCTTTACAAGATGTGGGAAGCAGAAAAACTATCCAGGCTGATCTGGAAGGTGGCAGGAGTACATCGTGCTGCCCCAATTTCTGTGGCCTAGAAAGGCTTCTCGCGTGGGATAACTCTCAGTGTTGTTGCAGTTTGCCACAGGATGCTGCCATGGATTCTTCCCTCTTATTCCATTTTTACAGCACAAATAATGCTGTAATGCACAAATTTACCATAGGGTATCATGYACTGTTAATGATATTTATTATATACTATACTGTCTAATGAACAACCACCATCAACAAAATGCATKGGAATTCTCTGAGCACCATACAAGACACAGGCAGGGATGGGAATGAAAAAGGAGAACTTACTTAACGTTCTTTTTTTCTTTGTCTTTRTCTTCCAGTCTCTTCATGTCTCGAGCAGCTTGATCCTAACAGGTCATAAAATTGTTATATGTTAAAATGACCAAGATGGTAAAACATGGAAGGGAAAAGTGCTCCTGCATAATTAGACCATTATGCCACAGAGACAACACTTCTTGGACTACCYTTCTCTTATTTCATATCTGATTATGCTAAATAAATTCTTCTACTAATACCTTTGAATTCCTATACTCTAAATTTGTGACAGTGTTGTTGAAAACATAAATTACCCATATTTCTCCTGAATCCAGCTAATAACAGAACTATAGCTAAGAAACAGCTTGTGATAAATTCAAACAATTTCCATTTAGGTAGTGAAAAATGAGCAAAACCTTAGTTTGATATTCAGAGACAAGGAGAGCTCYGTGTTGTATTTTCTGTCATCCTCAAAGCAATTAAATAGTTTTTATAAGTCATATCCACCCTCTGCCTATCTAACCAATTTTTGAATTCTAACTAACACCATCCTAAATAAAAATCAAAGTGAAATGGCATTTTGATGCAGCTGCCAAAGCCCTGAGTGACATTTGCTGCCCCTGACTGCAYACAGGTACAGCCACATCAATGAAAAAACATTTCCCAAGCTGAGTCTTGCCTCCACTTCAGCCATGAATGCTTCCAGAGGATCATCATCGCTGTCGGAGTCTGCAGATTTGGAATGGAACTGCTGCCGAGTGGGGGAATTCTCTGCAGGAATGTAGGGCAATTCCACATTGCTGGAATCTTCCTCTTCATCCTCAAAGTATCTGAAAAGAAATGMACATCAGCCCAGTCAGGACATAGCTGTCAGCACTGCGCTGTCTTTCATGGCTTCTGGTTGAGTCAAAGTATCCACATGGATAATAAAAGTCAGTAWAGACACAAGAAAAGATGTTGAGATTTATTTATTTATGATTATTCATGTTATAAGTCCAAAGTGATGGCAGGGCAAATAGGTATCATGAAATTGAGTCTATCTCCATCTTTCTCATAGGYTCCYTTCARGCACTRGAAGGCCATAATTAGGTCAGCCCCAAACTTCTCCCATCTGAACAATCCCAGCTTTCTCAGCCTTACTTATACATTTATGCAGCCAATAAAAGAGTTAATAAAGAATTGTGGAGATCAATATTTCCCTGTGCAAAAGAAACACAAATTTATCCTGCTTGGCTCCAACTCTGAGAACACCCTAGAGTGAATAAAATAAGTTCTAGAGAGGGGAAAGCTGGAGAAGGAAAGCTTCCATGGGCTACTGTAATATCTAACAGTCTTCTAAGTATATTATTATGTATTTATACATATAAACATCACAGATACTTCCCYTGGCCTTGGAAACATAAACACATTAAAATCTAGAGCTACATAAACAAGAAATAACTCTACTTACGCATTCTCCTCATCAAAATTTGCTCTCTTTGACCCGATTTTGTAGAAGGAAGGCAGCTGAGGAGGCCCTGATTTTGCAAACGCTGCCGAGGAACCGGCTGTGCCAAAAGCACTGTGGGACTGCTGAGAAAGCTTTGGCTCCTCTTTCTTCCCAGGGGTTATGGCAAATCCACCAAACCCAAAGCCTCTCTTAGTACCAGGTCCACCTTTATTCCAATTCATGATGTCCCCTATATACCTGTTAAAATGAGAAAAGACAAATTAATGCTCTTTCTGCTCTAAGCAGTTACAGATAATTGTCATGGTTTTTCTTATTAGTTGGTCCCTTCAGTCATGACACAGGGACTTGTGGAACTGTGAGTGACAAGAGTTTAATCTGTTCCCCAAAAAGGATGAGGCTTTGCTCTTTTTTCAGTGTGAACACATCCACAATTCCAAAGAAGAATAAAACTAAGTGGTTGCCTTCCAAAACAGGTCGTGTCCTTCAAAGATTACTTAAGCATATTTAAGATGTTACCTGTCCTGTCTGCAATCTAAAACAAACAAAGCCCAGGCCAGAACTTTGACCATCAGGAGAATGAGAGATTAAAAGGCAGTTTTGTGCATATTTTGCATGTCCATATAGTGCCATTCATAAGTGTTTCATGGCTTGTCAATGCCTCACTCCTGCAACACAGAAACTCCAGAAAAATGGGTCCAGAGTAGCACAAGGCTCTGTGTGAGCCCAGGCACATCTCTGCCAAAAGCCAGCTCCCTTTTCCTCTTCAGACAGCACCTTCAACCATATATATGATCTCTCTATATTATACATATATATTATATGCTCTCCAAYCTTTATTTCTCAAACAGCATTTTAAACACTCCAAATAACATCTGCTCAGAACCTGATTTTCTAAGATGAAGACTGAACTGATATATTAAGATTTAGAGTTTCCATTCTTGAGCCATTTAATTACCTGCATGGTCAAGCAAATCATACCTGTAAGGCAAAAAGGAGAGCAAGACACCCACTGCTTTCCAATGCATCATAATTAGCTGTCCAAAGGCTACAGTCTTATTAAACAAATCCTCACACTGAGAATCTTCAACGAGATCAGAACTAATGGGTAAGAAAATAATTTTATTTCAAAACAATCTGAAGGTAAATACTGCAGCTGGTCCCTGTGCTGAAAAATTTAGCAGCTTGGGGTTTGCTCAACAAATCTCGAGTCAAGATGAAAACTCAGTAGAAGATTTTGGGGAAAACTCTGCTGTTCAGCTCTCCATGACAGCACCTGACCCTGAAGTTCTGTTTTCCCTCCTGTCACACACACTTTGTAGATTTTACACTTGCAGATCCGTGGAACCGAGAGATCAAAACGTACAACAGAGGGGTGAGAGGTGGAAGTGTATTTCTGCTGTGACAGCACAGTGGAAATGTTTGAAARCTGTTAAGTTAAAATCTGATTGTAATTATTCCTCTTCAGTGTTTTTATACACCTTTTCCTCCCTTCCGCTAACGTCAAAAAATAAGGAAAACCGCTTTTTTATTGTCACACAGCAGCAAAAGTACAAAATGTGGTCAGTTCGCCCACTCGCCAGCAGCGAGAGAACAGGGAGAGGTTCGCAGAGACGGCAGAAAAACTCCCGAGGTTTCGCTGCCCTGTGGCCACCCTTCCGCGGGAGGAAACGCGCGGGGCACGGACCCTTCGTGTGCTCCCCGGGAYCCGCGGGCACGGCCGCGATCCGCCTCAACCGCTCCCGTTCCAGGAGGGAAGGACGGAGAGACCCCCGCCCGACAGGACGGGGTATGGCAGGGACCACGGGGCGTTGGTGGGGGACACGAGCCCCGGGCAGGCGCTGTCCTGGCACAGCGGGCCCTACGCGCGGCCCCTTCCTCCCGCGGAACCGCGCTGCGGGCCGGGCCCTTTGTGCGGGGCAGGCCCGGACCGCCCGCGCCCGCTCTCAGGCCGCGGTTACGGCGGGACCCGCCTGCGAGAGGCCCCACGAGCCTGCGGGGGATGATCCGCCGCCGCGCCCAGCCCCGCTGCCCTCACTCGCCCCTCAGCGCCCCTCACTCACCGCCGGCCCCGCAGCCGCCGCCGCCACTTCCCCGGTTACCGGGGCGGGGGGTGGAGACGCGACGCACGCACCGACGTGCCCACGCACGGTACGTAAAGACGCACGGACCTCCTGGCGCATGCGCACTGCCCGCAGCGAAGCAACGGTGAGGGCGGCGGGACCGGGCAAAGGCGGGAGGCGGAAAAACCGGGAGAGACACCGGGAGAGSGGAACGTCACCGGCGGCYCCGSGACCGCGCTGATYCCCGAGTGGTTCCTGGTTGGTTYYCGTGTGGTTCTCGCGCCGGAGGGCTGGGTTTATTTCCTCCCGCCCACGCGTGTGTACCCGCATACCCCCGCACATGTGGCGGGGCCCGCAGTGCGCATGCGCCCCGGTACGGCGGGCGGGGGCCGGGCCTGTGACTCAGGTAACGCGGCCTTGGTCTGTGCAACCCCGCTGGACCGGAGACCGCACTGCCATCCCTTCTGTAGCTCGGTACTGGCAGTACCTTCGGGAGGAGCAGCCGGGCGCGGAGAGCACCGGGCCTGCGCGGTTTGTGCTGCGCCCCGCGGGGCGGGAGGAGCCGGCGGCGGGGCYGAGGGTCTGGGCGCCGCCCCGGGGGTGTGAGAGGGGCCGCTCCCCGCGGCGGTAGATCGCTGGTTTTATCTTGTTAACCTTGACTCGTGTTCCGGGAAGAAGCTTGGAGCGGTGGGATAACGAACAGCTCCGGTGGTGTCCCCGCTTCGGGCGGGGGTCGCGGTGAGGGCCCGGCCTAAGCGCCTCCAAAATCTGCACTGAGGTCGGGTCTAGACTCGAGATTTATTGAGCCAACCCCAAGCAGGTGAATGTTCAGCACAGAGAGCAGCAGTGTTTGCCTTCGGATTGTTTGAAGTAGTTTCCCTTGCAGCCGGGTGTGGATATCGGAGAACGAATCGGTTTTTTTTTACAAGGGAAAATCGGTGGCGTGTGGGTCGTGTAGGGCCTGCCGAGGATATTCTGCTGCCTGGAATTTGTACTTGGAACCCATTCTGACAGATTGTTGAGTTAAGGGGGTGCTCCAGCTCTCACCCACCTCCAGTTCAATTGTATCCTTCGAATTGGCTGCAGGAGATTATTTTGCATGAAGTTTGTTTGGACTTGTCAGATCKTCTGAAAGTGGCTGTGCTGAAATAGTCTTGGAATTCTCACAGTGAAACTGTTAGGGTTTGGTCGAGCAGGTGGCTCTGTTGTCCAGTTKTTTTTAACCTCTGAATGCAAATCCATCCTATCTAAATAGTATAGTTTTTTTTTGTTTTTTTTCCTGCTTAAATTCACATAAAACTATGAGGTTCCATCTGAGCTGAACTTTCCATCCTGATTAAGGTTCTGTGAGCATGTTCTGTGCAGGTTTTTGCTGGAGTGAGGAGTCTTTGACAAAGGTGTTTATTTTAGTCGTCCTTGTCATCCATAGCAGTGAGTKCCCTGCGTGAGGCACTCAGAGGAATGCTGGTCAAAATTAGAAACAAATCATTTCTATTCTAAGTTTGTAAGAGAACACTCTGATTAACATTCAGGTTCCCACTCAGATCTGGTTGCGGGAGGCAGTAAAATGAGCCTGACAGCAGAGCCTGATGCAGCTGATCCCCTGTGCTGGTTGTGAAGTGCAGCTTTGGGGTTATTGCAGCATTTTTTTGGACTTTGGAGAAGATCCCCCAGCCTGAGTGGGACGTTGGGATTGTTTTGAACTCAAGCAGAAGAGATAGAAAGCTGWGGGCAAAAAATGGTGAACTCACAAAGGTTTCTGGCTGATGTWGGAGAGCTCTGGGCTTGTGAAGCCCCAATTTACTCTGTTGTTCTGGGGAGTAGTGCAACATCTGTCCTCTTCCTGCTTGCTTTTTTTTTCCCTTTTTCCAGCACAACTTCCAACGAAATGTCTCTCTGCAGAAATTGTGATGGGACACTGCAGGACTTAGTTCTGAGTGTGCAGCCTAGAAAATCACAGATGAGCACTTTTGGACTAGCAGAGGCCATCAGAGCATTTTTTCTTTAAATAAATCAAGTGCATTTTAAGCTTTACTGCTGCTGTTACACATTCATGTGCCTAATTGCTAATTAATAACAACTTTAGGCACAAAATGTGGTCTTGAAAGTGAGTTGGCAGCACTGGCTGGGAGATGCTGTTGGAGAGTTAGTTTTGTAGCAGAACATCCCTGTTTTCCATCTCAGCTCATTTGAACAGTGTGGCCAGAAGTGAATTTGCTGCTGCCACAAGCAACAGAATCCAGAATCTCACCTTCAGAGTTATTTTGTTCTTGTACTAGTAGTCAYTTTCTTCATAGAGAAAATGGCAAGATCAGGAAGGGGTTTATTTCTCTCTCTGGTCTGACTCTCATGACTCTCATTTTCAAATTGTGCAGTGTGTATTAGAGATTGCTGGAGGTGTGATTTAACAGAAGTGACAAGGACTTTTTGCAATGATTGATTTCATTTTCTTTGCAGTGAAAATGAAGAATTTATATATWTTTATCGCTGTCCTGTTCATCCCATGGAGCTTTTCTTTGGCMAAGTATGATGAATTTGAGGATGGAGATGACATTATGGAATATGACGATAATGACTTTGCTGAATTTGAAGATGTGAATGAAGATGTAGTCACAGAGTCTCCTCAGAGRATCATCACTACAGAAGATGATGAAGAAGAAGCCACTGTAGAGCTTGAAGGTCAGGATGAAAATCAGGAAGACTTTGAGGACACAGACACACAGGCAAGGCCTTCCTCTGTTTTTCCTAATACTGTTCCTGCACCTTTCTTTCTCACCTTCTCTTTTTGGATTTTACTTGCTGGCCTTTGGATTTTCATGCTGCTTGTGATTTTGTCCTTTAGGAAGGTGACACGGAGAGTGAACCATATGATGATGAGGAGTTTGAAGGMTATGAAGAGAAACCAGATGCATCTCATAGCAAAAATAAAGACCCCATAACAATAGTTAATGTAGGTATAACTGTTGATCCAGTTTCTATTTGGAGTTTCATCACTTGTTTTCTTAAGACAGTATGCCAGGAATGTCACTGGGGTTCTAATATGCATTCACAATGAACACAGTGTGTTTTTAGCTTTTCTAGGGTTTAAGTTTCAGATTAGAAACTTGTCAGCTCTGGTGGTTTTTGAAGCCAATGTCTCTGCCCACCCTGCATCACCTTTTTGCCTCCCAAAATAGTCTTTCACGGAATGATYAGGTACTCAAGAGCTGCACTTTTATTACTCATGAGGTCTCTTTTTAGGTATTACAGCTGACCTTGGCAGTGAAAATTAAGATTTGCATACTTTAGTGATAGCARAATGGCTAATTAGCCTCTGAGGCAGCAAGGTCATGAAGGCTTCCCTGCTTCCCCATGGAGCCTGTGGCTCTTGGTGGCATCCTGAGAATGTTCCTGGGCACTGGGTGTTGCTTTGGATTTCCACACAAGTTCCATGATCATCAGATAATGCTGTCATGGGCAGGGCATCAAGCTGAAATGCTTAGTGAATTGAAGTGCTGGGCTGTTTACTCTGAGGGATATGTGCTAGCCCAGGCTCACTTGGAAGTGAGTGCTTTGTATTAAGCAGATATTTTGGGAATGCTGTTATCAGTTGTTTTCTGTGTGATTACTGCACCCCAGTAGAGCCAAGTGCATTATGAAGGCTTAGCTCTGTCCTGTTGCCTTTGTGGAGCTTATTGCTGTGTTGGGGATGGAGCTTCTCCAGTATTGTTTTCCAGATTGTTTGTGTGTATAAAATTCACTCATTCATATGTAAATCACAGTTTCTGTTCCCTCACACAGGTCCCTGCTCACCTTCAAAACAGCTGGGAGAGTTATTACATGGAGATCCTGATGGTAACAGGTCTTCTGGCTTACATCATGAATTACATCATTGGGAAGAACAAAAACAACCGCCTGGCTCATGCCTGGTTCAACACTCACAGGGAGCTGCTRGAAAGTAACTTTGCCCTTGTTGGTGAGTTCCATAATAACAAGAATTCAGTTTTAATATTTGAATAAAGCTGGGTTTAGATGGGCATTTAGGCTGTAGAGAATCCTTCCCTGTACTGTGGTGTTGTCAGTTCTAAACCTTCTGCTGAACTGTGGTGTCTCAGTTTGTGACTTTAGATTGAAGTTCTCTTTCACTGTTGTTTTCCTCAGGGGATGATGGCACTAATAAAGAAGCTACAAGCACTGGGAAACTAAATCAAGAAAATGAACACATATATAATTTGTGGTGCTCTGGAAGGGTGTGCTGTGAAGGAATGCTCATCCAGTTAAAGGTAAGGATGAAGGAACTTGTGCTGCTGTTTGTGTCACCAGTTGTCAGGTTCTAGAGGCTTTTCCATTCCTGTGTCAGCAGCATGGAGTCCCAGCTTGGCTTTTGTGCTGACATTCAGATACAGAGTTCTGAATACACACAGATGAGGGGAAACTGGTCATCTGAAGGTCTGTACAGACCTGCATTCTGCCTCTTAAGGGCACCAAAGAGCAAGTGTTTGCAGAAAGAGTATAGAAACAGAGGTGTAGCATCAACAGAGGTAACTGTAGGCTGAAGAGCCCATCTGCCACCTGGAAGGCTAAATGGACGAACAGGAATTCCAAGGAAGTACAGCAAACACAAAGCCCTGCATATGAGATGGAGCAGTCCCATCTTCTGACCTGGGGGAACAAAGCCCTCCAATGCAGAAAATGGGTCTGCTTTTGAGCTGAATTGGTCACAGAGGGAAAACTCAGATATTAGAATTTTTTACTGTTATGTATTCAGCTGTTTTCTGTGTTTGCCACCTTACGTTTTTAGTTTCTCAAGAGGCAGGACCTGCTGAATGTCCTGGCACGCATGATGAGGCCAGCGTCGGACCAAGTGGTGAGTACTCAGCCTTTCAGATTAGCTCTGATAAACTGTTCCATTCCTTTGGTTCTGTTCTGCTGCTTTTGATTGTTCCAGGTGATTTCTGTAGTATTCCATATCTTCCAGTTCAGTAATTGTTGAAACAACCTCAAAGAATTGTTTGTATTTCTTTCCTGCTTGTGAAATGCAAACTGCTGATGACTGGAAGTTGCTTTATCTGTAGGTTTTATCATTTGAGTGGTTTTGGGATCAGTCTATCATGATTCAAGACCTCATTTTGATAAAAAGTGGCTTTACAATCTGAAGTAGTTAGTAATTATTCATCTGTCTGTTCAGTCTGCCTGAACAGGACTGCTTAACCCATATTTTGGTTTGTTTGACAGCAAATAAAAGTGACAATGAATGATGAAGATATGGACACRTATGTGTTTGCTGTTGGAACCAGAAAAGCACTGGTGAGACTTCAGAAAGAGATGCAGGACCTGGTATGTACATGCACRTTGATAAATGATAGCATTTAAGAATCTAATCTGCATATTCATTGTTTTCTTGGGAACAGCTGAAAACCTGTGACTGAAATTTGTGGGGAAAAGACATTTTCATCWACAGATAAAACTTTATGGAATCAAACATAGAAATGCTCCCCCTGTCAGACCTGCAGGGAAAGARGCAGTGGAAAGCAGCTTGTGCCTTTCTTTTGGGGTATAGTTGGTTYAGGAGAGGCTACAGTATTTTGTCAGCATACATGAGTGTCACTTCACCTCATTTAATTTGCACAAAAGACTTCTTCAAGCATTGAAAAGTAAACTTCATTAGTGATATTAGTGATAAGTGATGTGGAAAATTTAGGTTTAAGTCATCTGTTTTYACATGATCTGAAATTAAAGCTTTACATATGTACAAGCCTTGAAAAGAATTGCAAAGCTTGCAAAGAACCCAGTAATAACAAGCAATGCTTTGCAGATCTTTTCTCTCAAGTAACAGCATGAAGTGTGGTTGGTAGGATGCCAGTTTTTGTTCTGTTATCAATGTAAACAAAATGCCTTAATCCACTTTGAACACTCCAGCATGGATGTAGTAGAATTGTTTTATCTTTTTCCTTAATGTGCTGACTTCTGAAGGAAAATACTAACTTAAAGACTGTTGATGCTTTGTGCTGTGCTTTGTTTRAAATGTCCCCAGCCAGGCTGAGTAACTGAGTGTATTTTTTATTGTTTCTTTTTAGGTACTTTTAGAGGTCCCACTGTTCCAGAGCARTTCAGTCTGATAAGATACTTACAGGCTTGTATTTATTTTCCTTTCTCATTGTTMTCTTTGAAACAGAGTGAGTTCTGCAGTGATAAACCTAAGTCTGGTGCAAAATATGGGCTTCCAGATTCGTTGGCTATCTTGTCAGAGATGGGAGAGGTCACAGAGGGAATGATGGACGCTAAGGTAARCTTAATACCTGAAGTACCTGAATGAATTAATACAAATACTCCTTGGTAATCCTGGCATTTACAGCTTGTATGTACTAAAAAAGCTAAAAAGAAAAGTTAAAGTGAAAAGTTCACATCTTTATATAAGTGTCACTGTGGCAAGCTGAACACAGCAATTCCCTGAGTGATACATAAAACCATAGAACTGTTTTGGTTGGAATGGATCTTAAAAATCATYCAGCTCCAACACCTGCCATGGGCAGGGAACCTGACAAACCCATGTTGAGTGGGTAGGCTGCACCTGGATTGATGTTGAGTTAAAACTAACCCCTGTTTCTCTTTCAGATGATCCATTTCCTCACACACTACGCTGACAAGATCGAGTCTGTCCAATTCTCGGACCAGTTCTCCGGTCCAAAACTTATGCAAGAGTAAGTATAAAACCAGAGCTCTGTTCAGCCTGATTCTCAGCTGTGCTTCAGAAATTCACAGAAGCATTTCCCTGAACCTCCTAACCCCCTTCAGGGGCTGCTTCAGAATTGCTAAGTGGTGGGTGATGTCTTACCTCAATTATCATGAAAATTCTTGCAAAAGTGTATTATGCCCACAGGCATTTAATAAATGAACATAAAGGAACATATTTTGATTTAATTATAGGACACTTATGTGTATACCTTGTACTAAAATTGTGTATAATCTGTGAAAGGTAGGCCTTACATTTTCACATTAGAATACTGTGGAATTTTGGGCAGTGAATACTTAAGACTTTTTCTAAAATAATTTGTTTTCCTAAAATATTTAGAGATCTTTAGTGGTATAAACAAGGGTGTGTGTGATGCTGAATATAATTAACAACATACAGGCTGTCTTAGTGTTCAGATGCCCTCTTGACAGTCAGAGGGGCCAGTGCTGTGTGTTTTCACACTCATGCCTTTTCCCTGCAGGCTTTTGKGWRAAAYACTTCAGGAATCTGAATAGTTTGAAACTTAACTTTGAATTAKGGCTARGCTTTTAATGTTTATTTWATTTAAGTACTTTCCAAGTGTCTTTTGGTTCCTGATGAGATTTTTCTGACCAATGTTGTTATTYTGTATTATTCTTTACTGATTCCAAACACTTGTTTCTTTCCTCCAGGGAGGGCCAGCTTACAAAACTGCCCGAAACTAAAAAGACACTTTTGTTTACATTTAATGGTAAGAAAACTGTTGTCTGTATGAGTCTGGGGGAAGTGTTGGGCTTTATTTGTGTAAGTCACATGCTCATGTTCTATCACCTGTGGATGATAATGTGTGATGAATGACTTCAGTGCATGTAACAGGATTACTGACTGATAAATAGAAGGCAGCAATACACTGGGAGTGAGCAGCATATTGTCATGATAACAGGACACTCAGTCTTGCTGTTGCTGACCTCAGCTCACACTCCTCTCTCTTGGAGGTAGCTTGTTTTTAAAYCACAAGCCTTGCAGGAACTCGGGCAGACTCAATTAGTTTACCCTGGTTTGAAATAAAAGTGGCCTGTTGGGAATCTATTCTAGAAAAGAATAGATCTTCAAATCTCTTGAAAATTCAATCCCAGAGCTCCAAATGAAGCTTTCTAAAGAGCAGGATAAGAGCATCWTTATTTTGTGAACAATGTGAGCCATAAGGGAAGAGCGTGACAGCAAGTAGACAAGTCCTGCCAGTCTCTCTGAATGAACAAAAAACTCTTTTATTTCAGTGCCTGGGTCAGGCAACACTTCCCCAAAGGACATGGAGTCTTTGCTGCCTCTGATGAGCATGGTTATCTACTCCATTGACAAAGCAAAGAAGTTCCGGCTGAACAGAGAAGTGAGTGCTGTCTGATTTTCTGTYTTCTGAACATGGTATGAAATTGGAACCATGACCACTGGATCCTTAAGGATCCACTGGAGCTTTCTATTTCTTTTATGGCTGCTAGAGATCCTGCATCCAACTTGTGGGGAAATCAATATAAAAAATAAAATAAAATTTGCATTTCTCTGTGCAAAGGGTAAACAAAAAGCTGACAAGAACAGGGCTCGGGTGGAAGAGAAYTTCCTGAAGCTGACTCACGTGCAGAGACAGGAGGCTGCCCAGTCCCGCCGGGAGGAGAAGAAACGGGCGGAGAAGGAGCGAATCATGAATGAAGAGGATCCYGAGAAGCAGCGCCGGCTGGAGGTGAGGAGGATGTTCACACTGCTGCTGGTAGATCCCTCCGAGGAGATCTCCAGGGCTGCCTGTAGATAGAGTAGCAATGGCAACTTTGATTTCTGTTTGCTGGAGGGCAGASAACTGTCAGGGTATTTGCTGCTGCTTTTTGAAACAAATGAAGGCTTCTGGTGAGGTGTGAACCCAGTCTGGGGGGCTTTTTTGTTTGGCTCTGAAATCTGCTTGCCCTTTGAAGAGATCACCTGTGTTTATTCAAATCCTTGTCCTTGCCTCCAGGAAGCTGCTCTGCGGCGTGAGCAGAAGAAGCTTGAGAAGAAGCAGATGAAGATGAAGCAAATCAAAGTGAAAGCCATGTGACTGTGTCCTGAGAAGTGTCTCGGTGCCACCTGTGGAATTGTAATTCACAGGGTACAAAGATCTATGTAACTCCATAATCCTCTGATTCCTTGAACACTAGTAACCATTAAGAGAAAAGTTCTTGCATTGGTGTTACTTATTTAAGTATTAAGCAAAATGTGTGGAGAGCTTTGTCTCGGCAGTTCTGTTCCAGGTGGTACAAAGTTTTGCTACTTGTCTGTTTAAAAAAAAATTGCAATATTCTTGAATGCTTTTTGTCATTTGTTCTTTTAAACCAGAAGATTGTAAACCTGTCCACGTGTGCTGGTAACATATTCATGCTTTGGTTTYAAACTTTGGTTTCAGTTATTGGGAGGGAAAGGGGAAAAACTTAGGGGGAGGGAAACTGCACAATAAACATTTASTGTGCATTTATTTTCATCAAGGCACAACACAGAGCCTTCCATACACAGTATGGATTCTTCAGGGATTTAAGTCCAGTAGAATAGAAGTGATTATTTTATCTTCATTTTTTTTTTTACAAAGGCCTAAAGCAGTATTAGGTCACCTGTGGGCATGGTTGGCTTATGTGTAAAACAGAGATGGTTAGAACCAAGGAAATGGAATATATGGACAGTTTCTTACTTGTGTGTTTGGATGCTGCAAAATTAACACAGTGTGAAGTCTGTGATGTCAGCATAGTGTTCCTTCAGGAGTGAGTGCATGGTGAGTCAGCAACTCGACCAACTTTCCTTCAATATTTTTAACTGTTCAAGTTTGCCTCARCCCCTTCTCTCCTGATCTCAGCAGCTGCTGCCCAGTTCTCTTCAGCCAGGAGCCAGATCCAGTGGAGTACCTGCAATTGCCAATGTCCCCAAGCCATTGAAAACGTTTCAGAGGATATTTGTCCTCTTYATCTGGTCAGTGATCACTTCAGGGTTTTAAGTCTAAATGGGAAGAATGAAGTGAATGCCCTGTGCAAGCACTTCGCTGGGAGAGCTCTGCATTTTATAAATGCTTCCTGTCCAGAAGGCATTTTATTGTTGTTTGTAACAGACTTTTAACAGTTTTGTGGGGAAACAATGTCCTGCATTTCCTTGTTCAGTACTTTGTGGAAACTTGGTTCTGAGGCAATAAGAATTAGCTGCTGTTGAAACAGCAATTGCTTAAACTCCTTCTTCCAGCATGGGATAATTCACCTTGMTTGAAATGCAAATGTCTGTAACCTGATACATGCAAATATATTAATTTTATAATGGTTGGTAAAATTATTTAAAACCAAAACTAATGTAGATTATGTGAAATTTTAGCACTATTTAGCTTTAAAGATTAATATGTTATTGTTTCACACAGTTCTTTGAAAGGAARTACTAGTTTGTGCTCTTTTGAGTAAGTGGACAGCTTTCCTCAAGTCCCATCCAGTTGTGGGCCATGGCAGCTAATTTTGTAATATGAACATTCAAATGAACAATCTAATGAAGAGTAAAATATAATTGAAACACTCCTACTTCACTTTGTCTCAGTGTTCCTTTCAGCTAGTGGCATCTCAAAGCCTCCTTTTATCCTGGCTGGGTTTTGGTGTAGGTTTTAAACACCAGGAGGAGCTCTGCTGTGCTGTGGTGGAATTCTCTGCTTCTCTCTGCTGTGCTGTGGTGGAAACTGGAGGAAGGTGTCTCTCCCTGCTGCAGGCTGGGCTGGAGGGAGATGGGGGATTTGCCCCCGGGGTTCTGCATCGAAGGTGGGCAGAGCAAGGTCCCTGCTGGGGACACAGCCTCAGCCACTCTCTGAGAGACCCACGGAATCACGGATCAATTAGTTTGGAGAAGATTTACCAGATGAATCATCCTGTGACTGATCCCCCTCTTCTCACCCAGCCCAGAGCACTGATTGCCATGTCCGGGCATTCCTTGGACACCTCCAGGGATGGACACTCCACCAGCTCCCTGAGCCACCTCTGCAACGTTTAAGAACCCCTTCTGTGAAGAAATTCCTTCAGATGTCCAACCTCAACTTCCCCTGGCACAGCTTGAGGCCTTTTCCTCTCATCCTGTCCTTTTTTCCTTGGGAGCAGAGCCTGATCCCCAGCTGGCTGCAGCTTCCTCTCAGGAGTTGTGGAAAGCAAGAAGGTCCCCCCTGAAGCTCCTTTTCTCCAGGCTGAGCCTCTCCGGGTGGTGTAGAGTTCCATTCCCTTCTCTGGACACTGTCCAGCCCCTCAGTATCTTTTCAAAGTGAGGGGCCCAGAACTGGACACAGTGTGGCCTCACCAGTGCCTAGCACAGGGGGACAATCCCTGCCCTGGTCCTGCTGATGACACTTTTTTACAAGCCAGGTGCCATTGGCGTTTTTGCCCACCTGGGCTCACGTTCGGGTGCCTGTCAACCAGCACCCCCAGCTCCTTTTCCAGCCCGTTCCCCGGCCCGCACCGCTGCGGGGGAAGATAAAATCAAAGGAGTTGGTGCCGCTGCCCCTCAGCCCCTCAGAGAGACCCAACATGGCGGCGGCTCCTTCCCCGCCGCTCGCGGGAGCTCTCGCGGTGACGTCACGCGAGCGCGCCCGCGCGTCACGTGCCGGCGCSCTTGCGTCACACGCAGCGTCTCCCGCCGGTGAGCGGCGGCCGCAGCCTGAGGGGTCCGTGAGGGG